AGTGGGACAAACATGGTTATTATATATATATATATATATATATATATATATTATGCAATATTAGAATGTTGTTACTGCAGATGTTTAGGGTCATGGGAAGTTTTTTTTTCTCGGGGGATGGTTTGGAGGTGCTTTTCTGGTTCTCGTGTGTGTGTGCGTGTGTGTGTGTGTACCTGTTATGAGGACCAGATGTCCCCACAAGTATAATAATACCAGTAAATAATGAGGAAACAAGCTTATAAATGATACAGAATGAAGTGTTTTGAAAATGTTTTTAAAATAGCAGAACGTTTTGTGTGAGGGGTAGGTTTAAGTGTTGCAATATTTTATATTTTGCCTTCAAAAAGGCCTAGGCTATGCCTGTTTTTGTTGTATGTGTTTGTTGTTAAGTAAAATGAACTAGAGAACAGTTAAGAAATTCTGACTGTGCATTTAACTCTTTTCTATCTACATAACAACATAGGTCTATGATAATAGTTGCTTAATGTCTTTATAATAAATTCATCAATGCATCATATTGTATTATTTGTCTGATGATGTTAAATTATCCATGTTTCAACCTTCCATAATCAAAAGCATTTTACTATTCCACATGAATCAAGGTGATTTTGGCCTTTTATCATAGACTTTTCAGTGTCCCACATTAGTAAGCTGCAGATTTTCTCAGATGATTTGCACTAAGAGCACTAATATGTCTATAATTTCTTTTATGAATGTGTTATCGGCATTTTCTCTTTTGATTTGATTAGGACACATCCTGGGTTTTTAAAAATGGTATTGGGTATGGATTTAATGTTTTGGCTACATCACAATATTTCACAGAAGTCTGAAATGCAAATAATTTCCCACTTTAGGGCAATTCACCCTATGCTTTTATTTTAGTGGAATTGTATCAATAAACAAAATCTCCAGTCTTTCACATGCATCTTAAAGATCATGTTTAATTTGTGACTGTGAAGTGGGGGTGGCACGACATTGTTTTGCCAAGAGCGGCAGTTGAGCTTGTGCTGGTGTTGTGCCGAATTCTGACCCTCGCCAGATTATTACCCCCTAGTATTGGCACAGTAGGTTAGGATTAGGGGTGGGGTTAGGATTAGGCAATCAGGTAGTAATTTCAACAGGTGGTAATAATTTGGCAGGGGGTCGAAAATGGGCCTGTCTTTGTCCATTTTAGGGATTTCTGGGCATGTCATAAGTTCTATGATGTCATAATGTCATTACTTCTATGAGTCCGTTTTGGACTTTCTGCACGAGAGCACCCTCCAGCGTCAAGTATGAATTAATCAGACACTGCATGAAAGTGTTTAGCACTCCGTAATGATCACATCGTCTCGTTCTGGATACGAATAAAACGCCAGGTCATGCATAGATCTTTTCTCTTTGAATTTAAATCTAGACTTATTCACACTGGCCAATGAAAACTGTACGTGAACACACTTGCCCGAAAAAGTACGGGGGACGAATTTTACGGTTTATTAAAAGTGGTGGTATTATTAATATCCGATATTAAAATCAGTGCAACACACTTTGCAAAAGGCCTGGGCATTTTCGACATGGCTTAGAGATATTAAATTAAATTATTCTGTCCTGCTGTTATTAAATTTACATTTATTTTGTTTGTGTTTTTTCACCGGTGCACCACCCGAGTCTTCTCCTCCCATGCTTTATTCAACTTTAGTGATGTCAGGTTCTTGTTCTCGAGTCAAGAATCGATTGCAACAGTTTTCGGATCACCAGTACACTGAATTGAGAATGGTTTCTTTCGGACACGTCCAATTTGAGAACTGATGAGCTGATGATATTGCGCATGCGTGATTCAGGGTGAATCTACCGAACAGTACATGACAGCAGCACCGTCTGAACAACTGATGGACAACTGATGCTGTGCTAATGCTATGAGTGCGTGTAAACCGAGGACTTGAATGAGTGGACCAGTCTGGCTTTCGCAGCCCGGAGGGCATAGTCAGTTGCCGAGTGCATTACCTGCAAGACCTAGATGCAGCTTGTCCAGAAGCCGTGTAAGCTTTCGCCACGGGAGACGAAGAAAACTTATAGGCCCTGGACGGGAGTCTCGGACAGCCCCACCAAGTGGCGGCGTTTTGCGGGCATAGATGCACCACAATCGCTCTCTCCACCTGAGAAACCTCCGTATACCCCCTTGCTGGACCCCCATCGAGGGCGATGAGAGCAGAGGAACCGGTATATCGTGTCCTGGCCGAGAAAAGGGCCTTGCACAATTTCGTGCACCACCAGGAAGAAAGGCACTAGGGCTGGTTGTGGCTTAGAGTCATGCTCAGCACTCAGAAACCAATCATCGAGCCGTGAGCTCTCGGTACAGGGTGGGGGAGAACACTCCAGCCCGATACTCTTGGCCACCCGGGCAAGCATGGCTGCCATTTCAGCGTCTGCCCCAGACTGAAACTGCGTCAGATGGCTCTAGCCCACCCTCCAATGCTGTGATTGATACCTCGTCTTTACGAGCCCCGAATTAAAAATTTAACTCGCCCAGAGACAAGCTCTCAAACCCATCCAGAAGCTCTACCGGGGTGCACGGCACATAGGAGGATCGGGAAGTCCGCGGGGAGTCACCCGGCTGAGCCATTCCCTCCTCCCTACACTCTCCCCCAACGCACTTTGCTGCGGCCTCATACCTGGAAGTAGAAGGACCGGAACGGGAAGCAGAAGGGGTGACTTATGGTCTTTTAGAAAAGAACGCGAGCCGCGAGCTGTGATCGGAACGTCCCCATGGGCAAGTTCTCACAAAGAGAACGTGCACCATCCACTAGTGCCGATTCAGCATGGGTGCGGCCCAAACACTGAACACAGCAATCTTGTCCATCAGAAGGCGAGATGTAAAACCAGCAACCAGAAGGACACGGATGGAAAGGCATGATGTGAACCACACAATTCAAACCGTGATTTCGCTCTTTTAGAGGATTTGCTCTTTTTTAGGAAATAGCTCTCAAAAATCGCCGCTGAAGCACCCAGGGGTACTCTCACAACACTTAGCTGTGTATAGAGAGGGAGGGACCGCTGTCTGTGCTGTAGATCCAATGACGAGAAGATCGAGAGGTAAATGAATGCTACAGTTCTCATGAAGAGATGCTGCATTGGCTCCAAAGAACAGAACGAATGAGCTTATGCCACGCTGGCATATTTATACCCAGATATCTGGGTTGTGGCCAGCTATGCAGATTTTGCTCACCAATTGTCATTGGCCTTTTCTCAAAGATGTCAGAGGTAATTAGAAAAAGAAGTTTAATAAGTAAGGAAAAAACAAGTTTAAGTTTTTTTTTTTTTTTTACTGTATTTTATTTCAATTAAAGTTTATTTTATTTCAAGTTATTAGAAAAAGAAGTTTAATAAGTAAGGAAAAAACAGTAAGTTTTTATTTTTTATTTTACTGTATTTTATTTCAATTAAAGTTTATTTTATTTCAAGTAACAAAATGGTGTTATGGTTTTATATTTAGTTCACTATAATAACCACAATATATACATAATAAACTTCTATGGTATTTTGGCTCACACTTTCATTTTAGGCTCATACTTTCAATATAAAACTTGCGTGCAACCCATTTTACATTTACTTGGAATAACATGCACTGAAGAGCCATTTATAAGACCAGGAATGTGTATTATGAAAGTAAGTGGTGTCAATTTAATTTTGATTTTAAAGTTGATTCGTTGTTTTCTGTGGTTTGATTTCTTTGGACATAAAACATAAACTTGTGTAACTAAAAGTCATTGTTTCAACAGGTTTTTGCAGTATGGACTAGGGGCTGCACAGACTAGTCGACTTTAATGCTCTGCCATGACGCTTTAAAGGGTGGTTGATTGCGATTTCACTTTTTTAATGTTAGTTAGTGTGTAATGTTGCTGTTTGAGCATAAACAATATCTGCAGTTACCAAGCTGAAAGTTCAATGCAAACGGAGATATCGTCTTTTAAAATTCTGGCATTTTTTTTTATTATTAATAATAATGAGCCATAAGCATGCATTTAAAGTAAGGGGAAAATCCAAAAACCTTGCATTTATTTGTGTTACAACGCGGATAAATCAGTCTTATTCCGTGATGTAGCAAGTCAGCCCTGGGCCCATATGCAAAAAATTTGACCTTTTTTTCAGTCAAAAAATGTCTGACCCCCCGGCAGCTTTGTGCTTTGTTACTAAGTCTCAGCCTTCTGTCAATTTTATGATAAAATACAAACAACAAACGTTTTTTTACGCTCTTTAATTTGTAGTGAGATAATTCGCAGCACGAAATAAACATGAATATTTGAATGCATGTTGAAAAAAATCTAAACAACTTAATACAAACGAATGTCTTATGAATCGATCAATCAGAGTTTTAAAAAAAGTCAAAAGAATGACGAATGCCACAGACTTTTTTTTTTTTGGAGGAGTAGGCCTATGGGTGGAATTTTCACATTATATAACATGATTTTATTATCTTAATTTTAACTTTATTCTTAAAATATTATGACAT